GGTAAGAACCTCACTTCTTCAGATGCAAGTAAATTTCCATTACTTGCATCTGAAGAAGTGAGGTTCTTACCCACGAAAGCTTATGCTCCCAATACTTCTGTTAGTCTTAAAGGTGCCACAGGACCCTCTGTTATTTGATACATCAGCCTGTTTTACTAGCCTCTCTAATACCAATAATCTTGAATATCTTTGATAATTAAACCCATCTATACCTAGTTTTCAGCAATCAAATCTTTGGTTACAGATGTACTGCAGATTTCTAACAGAAATCCACAGTGTGCTTAAAGTATATTTGCTTACTCAACTGACACTTCACAAAAAATGTTTCATGAAGTGTCAATGTCTCTTTAATTAAGCTTTTACGTTCATGAATATTAGCTTTGACCTAACTTTATATGGCTGATATTTTTTCCATGGTGTCAATTTTAAAATTGGTTCTTACATTAGGAGGAGTGTCTAATGGCTGCTGAATTACTGATTTGTTCACCTCTTTTCTATTCTGGTGAAAATATACCTCCATCTCTTTGGAGTTAGCAGGTGACAAAACAGATCTTAAATATTCAGAGCAAATTAGAAATAGAAATAGGGATCCTTTTAAAATACATTTGTGATCGATGTGTCTGTCATGTTAAAATTAAGAAAAGGCAGATATTCATGTTTGTACAACTTTTTGAACATTTTTTTAAAGTGCTATATTAAGTGTTAAATATTGTTTATTTGTATATTCTGCCATTCTTCTGGACACTTGTAGTCTGAAGAACTGATGTGCTGTTTCGTGGTCCCAGACTTCTTTAGCCATGCTGCCTACCTGTATACTGAAGATGAGGTCTTTGCTTGTTCAACTGGAACTGGAAGAATTTCTTTACCACAGGAGAAAATTTTTTTTGGTGCACAAGGTAATAGCAATAGGAAACTTAATTTGTATTAATTCACTTAGTTAACCATATTGACACAATTTTTCTTCATTCCAAACTGTATTTAGATTGAGCCATATGTTTTGGCATTCTGTTCCTTCATTCAAGGATCCCCAGTTACCTCAAAACTAAAGATTGAGGCAGCATGGGCTGATGGAATGAACAAAGGTTTGGCAGTCAAAGGTCTGAACTCTAATGTTAGTTGTTGCTGCTAGTTCTTTCTCTGGCCTGCAGCCAGTCACTTTACCACTTTGCTTCAGCTTCCCTGTGTGTGAAATGTATAATAAGTTGTTTGTGCAAACAATTTTGAATATATACACCTCTACCCCAATATAACGCTGTCCTCGGGAGCCAAAAAATCTTACCGCGTTATAGATGAAACCGTGTTATATCGAACTTGTTTTCATCCACCAGAGCGTGCAGGCCCCTCCCCCCCCGAGCGCTGCTTTACAGCGTTATATCTGAATTCGTGTTATATCAGGTTGCGTTATATCAGGGTAGAGGTGTATATACACACACACATATAAGTGCTGAGTATATTTTTATTCATATACTGCTTGCAAAAAGTCTGGGATTTTACTCTAAAAATGGGATTGAAACTCACTTGACAGGAGACAGAAAATGAAAATAAGATGACATTGTGTAACTGTACATAGGAGCCCTATATTTAAATACCACCAAATCTTGCTTATTCTGATAGACTCATAGACTTTAAGGTCAGAACGAACCATCATGATCATGACCTCCTGCACATTGCAGGCCACAGAAGCTCGCTCACCCACCCACTCCTGTAATAGATCCCTAAACTCTGGCTGAGTTATTGAAGTCCTCAAATCATGATTTAAAGACTTCAAGTTACAGAGAATCCACCATTTACACATGTCACTTGCTGGTTTAAACCCATGTTGCAGAGGAAGGCTTCTCTGCAAACCAAACAAGTCTCTCTCTCCACCTGGAAATTTAATTCCACTTCTCATCAAAGATTTGAGTAGACCACTGTAGTGAAATCTGCTATTAGTATTTTATAGGACAGTTCTTTTACTAGGATAGTATGGTGTATAACATGAAGTAAAGCCGGACTTACTTTAATATGTGAGAATATTTTATGAATCTGCTTTGGATTTTTTCTAAAATTAGGTTTGTTTGCTTAGTTATTACCTCATATCATTTTGGTAATCTGCAGTGCGTCTTATCGTTTGTTTGAATGATCAAGTCTGTTGTGAAGTACTGCTGTTAGCTGGTTCATGGGAAAATGTAGTAAATGTCTACTTGAAGATCAAGCTATGAATGCAGCATTATATGATCATTTTATTTATTAAATGTCTTGTTTTTCCTTCCCGTTAGGTGATAGCATTTTAGGAGCAGGTTCTTACACTGGAGTTCCCATTTTTTTCACCAGAAAAAGTGGGCTTGTGGCCATCTTTTCTAGGGAAAATGTGTCTGTGCTTCCTGAAGACCTTGAGGATTCCCTGTCATCTTCTGTAGCTGGACCAAACAATGAGGTAATATTTAGTATGAAAATTCAAAACCTCGTAACGCAAAAAGAAAGTGTGCCTAGAGTTCACTCACCTTCACAATTTCATTCACAGAAAATTTTAATTTTTGTATAGATCTAACTGAAAACAAATTTTCAAAACCCAAAACAGTTTTTACAATATTTTGAAATTCCCAGTCAAATTGATATTTGTCAGCCAGCTCTACTCATTTGAATAATGTGCTACTTTAATTCTACTTTTTTATCAAGTAACCAACTCTTTTTAGACTGGAAAAAAGTTTTTTCACATGTCCATATTTAACTTTTATACAATATGCATTTACTTAAAATCTCAGATGAGTTACCTTGTCAAGAATATTTTTCTAAAGTAGAATCTTTTGCCCAAAATTTTTTAGAGAGAGATGGAAAGCTGGGCTTTTAGTATGGGGCTGACCAGTTCTTTAGTTAGCTAATAATTAAGAATGAATTGGTCATTATCCCATTTGTCTTACCCTCTAGGATCAGTTGCTGTAGTGGTACCTCATAATAGAGGGAATCTCATGACCATTACTTTGGCTAGATCAATCTGCACAGCTTCTGAACTGTGATCCTGTTACCTTTGCCCCCAGTCTCTTTTGTTGTTGTTGTGATCAGCAAGAACATCCCACAGGAATAAAAACTTTAGATTTGGCCTGTCTATTATAATCCTAAACCATTGTTATTTTAGAAAGATTACTTTCCTTCCATAATGAGGTTTGTATTTACCTATGTGTCCTTCGGTCTAAATTTTTACTTTACATTTCAGGGTTCTGCATTTGATGCTACCAGTAGAATGGAGATTATAGCACAAGAGGATAAAACTAAATTACTGAAAGCTGCTTTTCTACAGTACTGCAGGTATGAGGAGTCACTATGTTGATTTACTAGAGAGGGCAAGTTTGTTTTTAATTAAGGGATTCTCTTGATAAAAATAAAATTCATGCTGATTAATTAAAAATCACAATGGACTCATATTTAATATATTCCTTTTCTAGAAAAGTGTGTGCACACCTTGGACACTGTTGAGTAAATTGTTATTGACAATTTTTTTTTTGACTAGCTATTTTATTTTCCCTGAAATGCTTTTCGTATTGGTTGAATTTTTCTGGATTTTCAACACACACATCCCACAGCCCCAAAAAACCCAATCCAACCCAACACAAACAAACAAAAAAACCCCACAAAAAATTGGTAAAAATGTTGTTTGGTTTTCAAAAACATTTTTCAGTTTTTAGTTTTTTGTGGTTAAAAAAATCACATGAGATTTTGTAAAAAGAACCAATTTTTAAAAAAAATTATCGCATGAAATAGTTGGCATTTTTGGACCACCTAGGCAGTGATCCATGTTAGAAATGAGCAGACTTGTATAGTCATTTTTACAGCTATAACCTGCCAGAGCTGGTATTAATGATCTGATTGACACAAAGTAAAGCTATTTTAAGCTTAAAATTTTGTTTGTCCTCTCAGTAACTGGCATTGGTGAAGAAAGTTAGGGAAGAATGGAAAAATCCTGACTATTTTATTTACATTTAAATGGGCAATTTTCAGTATTACTTTAGAAGATATTTTTTATATAGTGCCATGAATGTGCATGATGCTTCTCAAAACATAGTCATTGCCCTGATAAATGTGTGATCTAAATTGACAAAAACAAGAGGAGGAGATAAACACTGGAAAGGGTGGAGTGACCCAAGGGTGAAAACAGTAAGTTTGTTTGCTTAGTGATTTGTGCAGATGTCTTCAGGGCTGCAGACTTACATTTTTTATATTAGACTAGAAAGAATATAGTAATCTATAAAACTAAGCCTCCTAGAATAATTGAGGTTGGAGAAAGGACTTTGAAGAGAGGATGGAGGCATGGAAGAGAGTCAAAGAGGGTTCCAGGCATAAGGGGCTGCATGAGAAAGACAGAGATTTGTGTGGGAGAAGTGCATGAAGGGGACTGTCAGGCGAAGTAGAGAGATAAGAAATTGAGTTGTGGAGATCCTTAAATACAAGGAGGAGGACCTGAATTAGTCCGGGAAGAGAGAAATCATTGAGCTCAATTCTTGGTGTAGAAAGTTGCAACCATGGAGGTTAATGGGGGAATTGATTTGTGACAGCAGGTTGAGCAAGGGTATTAGTAAGAGAACATGAAACAGTGAGGCTCACGAACATGGAAGCTGAAACTGAAGGTTAATGGTGTGGAACTAGGAAGAGAGTCAAGAGTTAGGTGGAGAGAAAGGAGAAGGGTGAGAGAGCAAGCTGGAATGATGAATGACAGCAGTGGCAAGAAGGGATGGGTGGATAGTTAGGTGTGTACTTCAGAAAGGAAGGGGAAAGTGAGGAATTGTTGGAACTGGCAGGAGAGCAACAAACACAGCTGCCACCTGGGCAGCTGGGAGGAGAAATCACCATCAGAGGATGGTGCCAGGGTCGGAGAGAGAGCCAGTGTTAGAGTGGGAAATAAATTGTAGAATGAGACATGGTTTTGCAGAATAATGCAGGAAAAGGGAAGATGATGAAAGGATATGGGGGTATGCAATAGATTACTGGGTTAGTAGTGTTTTTGGAGGAAGGAGAGCAGGAAGCAGCTGTAGAGAAACTGAAGGAAGGGGATAAGAGGAAGATGGCAGTTAAGAGACTGAAGATAAGAGGGAGGTATGATTTGATGAGAGTTGGAAGGACAGGGCGAAGAGGTGAGGGTGCAAACTAGGAGTGGTAAATGGAAGCTGTGATGAGCTAAACCGCGTGAAGGTGAGCCATTATTTTAGAAAGATGTTATTGGATCAAATGGTACCAGATATGAGAAGGAATGGATAATCTGAGCCATGGTAGGTGACAACTAAACAAATACTTTGCCTCAGTTTTTAATAAGGGTAATGAGGAATTTGGGAGTAGTGCAGGATGGCTTATGGAAACAAGGATATGAAAGTAGAAATGACTACCTCTGACATGTAAGTCAAACTCAAACAGCTTAATGGGACCAAATCAGAGGCCCCAAATAATATCCATCGAAGAATATTAAAGGAACTGGCACATGAAATTGCAAGCCCAGTGGCAAGAATTTTTAATGAATCCTTAAACTTGGCGGTTGTACCCTATGACTGGAGAATTGCTAATATAGTACCTATGTTAGGGTTTCCTCCCCACTTTAAACTTTAGGGTACAGATGTGGGGACCCTCATGAAAGATCCCCTAAATTTATTTCTACCAGCTTAGGTTAAAAACTTCCCCAAGGCACAAATTTCTTCCTTACCCTTAGTATCGCTGCCACCACCAAGTGATTTAAACAAACATTCAGGGAGGGCCACTTGGATCCCTACCTCCCACAAAAAAATCCTCCCAAGCCCCTACACCCCCTTTCCTGGGGAGGCTTGAGAATAATATTCTAACCAATTGGTTACAAAGTGAGCACAGATCAAACCCCCTGGGTCTTTAGGACACTGAAAAACAATCAGGTTCTTAAAAGAAGTTTATTTAAAAAAATAAAAGAATCACCTCTGTAAAATCAGGATGGAAGATAACTTTACAGGGTAACAAAAAGATTTTAAACACAGAGGATTTCCCCTCTAGGCAAAACGGGGAAAAGGTGATCTGGGAAACTGCAGGTCTGTTAGTCATACCTCAGTTGTATGCAAGATCTTGGAACAAATGTTGAAAGAGAAAGTAGTTAATGATATGGAGGTAAACGGTATTTGGGATAAAATACAGCATGGTTTTACAAAAGTTGAATTTTGCCAGACCAACCGGATTTCTTTCTTTGAGAAGATAACTGATTTTTTAGACAAAGGAAATGCAGTAGATCTAATCTATTTGGATATCAGTAAGACGTCTGATACAGTTCCATATGGGAAATTATTAAATTGGAGAAGATGGGATAAATGTGAGAATTGAAAGGTGGACAAGAAACTGATTAAGGGGGAGACTACAACGGGTCATATTGAAAGGTGAACTGTTAGTCTGGAGGGAGTTTACTAGTGGAATTTCTCAGGGATCGATCTTGGGACCAATCTTATTTAACATTTTTATTAATGACCTTGGCACAAAAAGTGGGATTGTGCTAATAAAATTTGCAGATGACACAAAGTTGGGAGGTATTGCCAACATGGAGGAGGACTGGAATATCATACAAGAAGATGAGGAGGACCTTGAAAACAAGAGTAATAGAAATGGGATGAAATGTAATAGTGCAAAGTCATGCACTTAAGAGCTAACAAGAATTTTTGCTATAAGCTGGGGACGTATCAGTTGGAGGCAACAGAGGAGGAGAAAGACTTGGGTGTATTGTTTGATCACAGGATGACTATGAGCTGCCAATGGGATGCAGCCATGAAAATACTGTGTGAAATTCTGGTCTCCTATGTTTAAGAAAGATGAATTCGAACTGGAACAGGTGCAGAGAAGGGCTTCTAGGGTAAGAGGAATGGAAACCCTACCTTATGAGAAGAGACTCAAGGAGCTTGACTTGTTTAGCCTAACCAAATGAAGGCTGAGGGGAGATATGATTGTTCTCTATAAGTATATCAGAGGGGTAAATGCCAGGGAGAGAGAGGAGTTATTAAAGTTAAGTGGTGGTGGTGTCACAAGAACAAATGGATATAAACTGGGCATCAACAAGTTTAGGCTTGAAATTAGACAAAGGTATCTAACCATAAGAAGAGTGAAATTCTGGAATAGCCTTCTAAGGGGAGCAGTGAGGACAAAAAAACCTAACTGGCTTCAGGTTTGCGCTTGATAAATGGTATGGAGGAGATTGCCTACAACGTCATGTGGACCATCTGCAACTGCTGCTAGACCCCAATAGCAAGCCAAGAGGAGCATTCGGCACATACATTTTTTAGTTAAAATATTGTGTCGACTGCTCCTGTTAGCTTGGCTACTGGAAAGGCGTTTAGCTATGCATAGCTAAACATCAGGGTTTTTTTGGTCAAAAGTGACTGCAAATTACTTACCCATCAATAAAATAGATAATACCCCTTTGAAATTATACTGAGATGCTTTTTAAAACTCAGGTTAAAGGTGGTCAGTACAAACAGTGTTAGTGATTATAACCTACAAATTTAATAAAAAGTATAGTAGAAAAAACTGCTGGTTGTGAGAATTTTTAACATTCTGGCCATTTTTGATTACACTTCGTTTTATGCAGCCTTTCTCTTTTATTTCAGAAAAGATGTAATCAGTGCACAGAGCATGGTTGTTGAGCTCTTTCCACCAAATGCAGACCTGGATTCTGATACTGAACTGGATAGAGCTGTAATTCAGATCAGTGTAGACTTAGTGGATGATTACCCTGCATCTGACCCACGATGGGCTGAATCTGTACCAGAGGGTAAGGCTTAATATTATTTGTGGTTTTATATGTGGGAAGTTGTGCACAGTATTCTGCTTAAAAAGTAAATCATAAGGTAAGCCCTATGCTCCATGAAGTGAAGGCAATTTTTGGGACTTGTGGATTGCTTAGTATTCAACAACTTGCATTGATTGCACCGCTTTGACCTTTCTTTCCTACCCTCACTCCCTCTTCCCAATCACTAACAGCCTCCCCACAATTTTTCCTATGCGCTCTCGAGTATACTTTCATGGGGGTAAAGAGCCTTTTGCCTTTGACCACTGTTTCTGCGTGGCAACCTCTACTCTAAATAGCTCCTTTTCACTCCTTTTAGTGCTGCTGTTTCTCTAGTAATGCTAAGAAGAGAGGAGAGTAGCAGTTGCTGCAGGGGGAAGTTACATGCAAAGGCTAAGTGACACTTTCTTAACTCCCCAACCCCTGCTGGAGGAATCTGGTGTAGGTGAAGCACTGAAGCAAGCCACCTTCTGATCACGTGTCCTGAGTAACTACCCATGAGAAGAGACCTTCCTTTATATCTCCAGGCAGCAGTTGCCCAGAGCTGAGCATGGACTTGGCTGGAAGTTTTATATGTAGCATGTATGGCCAACTGATGCTTTTTTTGCTATCATTTCTACCTGGCAATCGATAAGAAATTATGAAATATCAAATACTAAATCTTTAAAGATTCACAACATATTGAAAAATAGCCATTATATTATGAATGCATTATCTGAACTGATTTCCTGTTAGTGCAAAAACTGGAGTTGATTAATCAATAAATACTTGAAAATAAAAATAAAATTCTGATAAGCCTACACATGATGGAAACTGCAGACGCAACTGTTCTTGTGAGTTTCACATCTTAGCAGTCTTCTGATAATAGAGTATGTAGAAGTTGTGAGAATTCTAAAGCAATAAAAAGGTACAGTGGAGCCCTACTGGGATGTCAAACACACAGATATACCCAAAGAAGCTTCCACTCCACTCACTGATTCCTTAAAATCTTTGCTCCTTTGTGTAAAAATTTTATCAGGATCCTCGGATTCAAATCCTGAGGGAAAGGAGTGAGCTTGGGCCAACCATATTTAAAACAGCAATACATAGCTACATCCGGGGGTGAAGAAGAGGGAGCAATTTCTTTTTGCTTTGCTAAGCCCATATGTGCATGGAGTGTAAAATCTGTGCAGTGATGGAGGTGTATTAGGTCTTTAATAAACCCTTTAATCAGGATTCAGATAGTTATCTTCATTTTGATGTTGTCGGTCTTCCATATTTATATATTTGTTTTATTTATATTACAAAAACTTAGTTTTAAGTTGTATTTTCAGTCTCTTAAGATCAAAACAAGGTGATCTGATTAAAAAAAAAAAAAGTCCAGTCTTTGTGTATCAGTTTTTGTTAGTATCAAATAAGTTGTTTTTTTTTCCAAGGGTTTGCTTTTGTTCGTTTTTTTTGTAATAATTGAAGACAGAAAAGCTGCAAAATGTAAGAGATCTTAAATTCCAGCTTGCAATACCATGGACTTTTAAAAAAGTGCTCTTAGTTAAAAATCTTGTCTTCACACACACACTCTTTTCAGAAGCAGCTGGTTTCAGCAATACATCCCTTATTCTCCTTCATCAGTTGGAGGATAAGACGAAAGCCCATTCTTTCTTCATTGACTTTCTTCATCAGGTAAGGTCCTAAAATTCTGCTGGCATGAACACTTATATTTTTTTTATATTATATTAATCATTTTTTGCACATTGCTTAACATTTTTTTTTTAATAAAAGGTTGGCTTATTTGAATGTCTGGGCAGTTTTCCAGTAAGAGGGATGCCAATGACAACTCGATTGTTGCTCTGTGAACATGCAGAAAAGTTAGCAGCAGCCATTGTTCTCAAGAACCACCACTCCAGACTGCCAGACTTGGTGAACACCGCTATATTGATTGCTTTAAACAAAAGGGAATGTGATATTCCACAAAGTCTTACCCCTGCAGATGTTTTCTTTAGAGAGGTAAGACAAGGAAGTCTCCTTGATTAATTGGAACCCTTTTCATGATGAATTGCTATGTTGTAAAAACTGAAATACATTAATGTGTAAAATAAGACTTTATTCTTCTAAAACAAATTTAACTTCCCAGAATTCTCCTGTTAAGACTTTATTGGTAGCATTTTCTCTCATTTTAAAACATAACTTTTTGCATGCATCTGCAACTAAAGTATGAATCCTGATTGACATCACATAGCTAGAGTAAAATTAATCTGATCTCCAACCAGTTCAGCTATAGGAAGGATGAAAAGACTGCCATGTTTTCCCTTCTCATCAGAGAATTGTATGCTAGGATTACCATGTTACAGGAGAGCACTGAAGGACACTAATGCCGTCTAGGTAGGTCTCTTTCTCATAAAGCTAGCAAAACGTGTCCTCATCTCTTCATTCCCTTCCTGGATTGAGTCGTAACCACTCAGTGCCTTTCACTATAATATATTGTCCTCTCTGATGCAGTATGTCTAATCCAATCAATCAATTACATTTTTAAGGCAAACATTCCAGTTGTACTACATTCCAGTTGTGTCTAGTTTACATTAATTTCCTCTGTTTCATCTTAACAATGTGCAATAAAATGTTTAGATTTAGTTTTAAATTAATTATGTACAGAGTATTAATAACTAGTGACTGATTTCTCCCTAGGAGAGGTGAGAACTGGTGTTAGCTGTGGAGAAAATAAATAAGTAATAGGAATTGTGATACCTGATTGAAACAGTTGTCCGTGTAGTCCATTACCCTTTTCCTGACAGTAGTCAGTACCACATCTTTCAGAAGAAGGCACGAGGAGCCCCATAATGGACAATCATGGAAAAACCTGCACATATGGGGAGTTTCTTCCTAACCCAATTGGCTTGTGTCCAGAAGTGAGAGGGCTTATAACCCTTAAAAAACAACAACAACAAAATCAACTAAAATAACTGGATGTTTTCAATATCCATATAAATGTTTAATACTTTTTTGTATTCCAGTAGGCTGTTTAATCAAGATCCTGTTAATACTTCAATATTTTCATAGATAGTAATCATTTGGCTGTCACACATCACCTGATAATGGGTAGGCTTGTGTTCAGTGCAAATATTTTTGTATGTTTTACAGGTATCCCAGATAGATACGATCTTTGAATGCTTATTAGATCATGAGGAGCAAATCTTGAAGGATACACCAATTGAATCCATTGAGTGGGCCCAGATAGTTGTCGACGTGAATAACATCATAAAGGTATCAAATTACATTGATTAAGCGAAACACTCCAGAAAAAAACCAAGACCAGAATTTAGCAAGTTGAGTCCAACCCTACTTTTCTGAGTATTAGTAAGCAAGGGAAAGTTGTCGAGAATGCAGTATTGTTTCATAAAGAACAGGAAAGAGAAATAAAGAAAACATAAGAATTATTTCTAAATATAGAATTATAGAAATGTAGGACTGGAAGGGACCTTGAGAAATCATCAAGTCCAACCCACTGCTCTGAGGCAGGATCAAGTAAACCTAGACCATCGCTGATAGGTGTTTGTGCAAGCTGATAGGTGTTTGTGCAACCTGTTTTTAAAACCCCCAATGATGGAGATTCCACAAACTCCCTTGGACGCCTATTCCAGAACTTAACTACCCTTATAGTTGGAAATTTTTTGCTAATATCTAACCTAAATCTCCCTTGTTGCAGATTAAGCCCATTACTTCTTGGCCTACCTTCAGTGAACATGGAGAACAATTGATCTGTCATTTATAACGGCCCTTAACATACACCCTCTACCCTGATATAACGCTGTCCTCGGGAGCCAAAAAATCTTACCACATTATAGGTGAAACCGCTTTATATCGAACTTGCTTTGATCCACCGGAGTGCACAGTCCCGCCCCCTCCCCTCCCCTGGAGCGCTGCTTTACCGCGTTATATCCGAATTCATGTTATATCGGGTCGTGTTATATCGGGGTAGAGGTGTATTTGAAGACTGTTAACATTTCTTCATAGGTCAGGTTTTCTAAACCTTTTATCATTTTTGTTGCTCTCCTCTGGGCTCTCCTAAATTTGTCCACATCTTCCCTGAAGAGTGGTGCCCAGAACTGTCCACAATACTCCAGCTGAGGCCAGTGCTGAGCACCACAAGGGCTGGATAGAGCAGGACAATTACCTTCTGTGTCCTATATACAACACTCTGTCAATATACCTCAAATTAGATTAGCCTTTTTTGCAACTACATTACATTGTTGACTCATACTGAATTTGTGATCTGCTATTAACCCTCAGATCCTTTTCAGCAGTGCTATTCTCCTTACCAGTTAGTATCCATTTTGTAATTTTGCATTTGATTTTTCTTTCCTAAGTGAAGTAATTATATGTCAGTTTTCCCACCTGATTAATAAGAAAAAGGACCTTGCAATGTTGAAAACAAATTCAATAAAGAAGGCACATCTGGATAGGAAACTTCAAGAAATACTTTGATTTCGCAAATCTAATTTTATTTTTGTCCTTTATGTAGGCTATTTAAATATCAAATGCCATGTGCAAGAATATCAAGGTACTAATAAACAATGTGTAATGTAGGATTTTATTATATGGATATTACTAATAGAATCATGTAAACTTCTGGACCTGCTCAGTCTGTAGTAGAAATTAATAAGCTGCAAGAGTTAAGAAAACAAAACAAAACCCAGTGCCATATATGGAACCCTTTTCAACAAGGCTTTTACTTCAGCCAGCCCAAATATTGGAAGGGCAGAGTGGAGAGAGAGGGTGAAAAATACAGAAAACAGTAATTTGCATTTCTTGGCTGAACAAAAACCATGGAATATATGTATTAGTTGTTTAATAATAAATGAGTACTACTAATATTAAAAGAAGTGAAATTGGTAGAGTTAGATGGTTTCAGGTATAGTACAGGAATTATCTGTGGTGCTGGATTCAGTCATGGGAAATCCTTGACTACTGCTCAGTACAGTAACATGGGTAGTTCTCATAGACAAGTTGGCCAAATAGAAGAACTACCTATTAATTAATATGAAAGTGCACAAAACAAGTTTTACAAAGGATCCGTTAGGTGCCTCGTCTTCCTTGCAGTATCCAAGCACAGTGTAAAAAAGGAAATACGTAGGGAAATTCACAAACGGGAAAAATAAAACTCATCAGTTGCCTGTCACACTCCGTATACATTCAGTACTAGTCTATACAAATATAGTAGTATCTCTCTCTTGACAAGAGAGACAAAACACTTACTGAATATGACCTTGTTAATGGCAGTATCACAAAAAAGGGAAAATATCCAAAACAACTTAATCCACATTTAATCATTCCAGCAATGCCAACACAAGGCATGCCTCATTCTGACTACTTTACATGAAGTTAATGTCCATCATCTGTTTAATTATGACTTTTCGTCTCCACTCCTAGAAGTGTCATGCTAGATAAAAGCTTACTGAACTTTCTAGGCTGGCATGGGTATATTCCAGAAATATAGAATCACATTCCAAGATATTGTCAGAACAGAGTAACACAACTGTAGTGAACTATATGTGATTTTGGGTATGAGAATATTATCTTGAGAGACAATTTCTCTCAGAATTCTGGCAGAAACCAAGTGTTTAGGCAACTCAAGTCCCAGAAAATCAGAGGCACTGACCCCAGAAACGTGTCAAATCGCCCACTTTTGCCTTCTTTCTCCCTGTTAAGTCCCAGGAGTCTAATCTGGGATTTGTTCTCTTTGTTATGATGGTCCTGATGATCTGATTCAGTCTCAGTTCCCTTTTGTTCCACTACATCTGTCCTGCCCAATTACTAGAGCTCAAACATTTTTCCTGATTTGTTTTTTCCCCCCCCAGTTTGCCCATTTGACAGAGTTTTGTGTAAAGGTGTACCTCTGTATTGGTCAGTTTCACTTCTTCCTGGTCTCATGAACAAGAACATGATAACACACACTCAGGCACTGTTCTGGAAGAGCTTATAATGCACATATTTCTCCAGGCATTTTAAGAGTCTGCTTAACAGTAACAGCAAGTCATGAAGTGTTGCTGTTTCAGTATGTGGAGCTTGGAAAGTCTCCTTTCCCAAACTACTGCAGGGAGGCAGAAAGGAAAGTAATGAAAAGCAAGGTCATGTTGGTTTTAACCACCCCTCTTTACCTTACAATGGATCCAGAAGAAAGGTGGAAGGAGATGCACTTAGGCTCACGATCACCACCAGATCTTTTAATGGGTCTGAAGGAGTTTGGATGCCTCCATAGACCTCAAGGTGGCGAGACGAACCCCTTCACAGAGCTGGGAAGCACTGAAATTAGTGTAAAATAGTAATGGGGGGGGGGGCTCCATTTCCTGGTGGAACCCTTAATAGTCTCTGGAAGCCAGCATGGAAGTGGGAGCCTTGGGGGGGATTGCCACCTTTACTTCTCATCCCTTTAGCAGGAAGGAGATGATGAAGTGATTGCCATGAACTGCAGCAGTGCACAGGAGCAGGGAGAAAGACCAGTATTAGACAGGGGGTGGATAGTTGGCCACATCCTCTGAGCTCAGAAGGCAGCTGAAGTACTGGGGTGGGATGAGGGTACATGGTGACTTTCCTTCTTGAACTACTCTTCATGGGAACCTTAAAAGTAGCAGGATGGCTAGCAGCCTGGGGGAGACTATTGATAACATATGTGCATAGTAGAGAACTTACAGCTCCTGGGCATGTACATTAATGCTCTTGCTAGGCCTCTGCATACTCTCCTGCTGTTTGTGAGTTGCATGCAGCAGTAGAGGGTGAAAAAATATTGACACAGGAAAAACGTGATTGAAAGAGAAGATGTGGCAAGTTTGGGAAATTGACCAGATTTTAAGGTGTCCATTTAATGTTGTGCAGGATATGCTACAAGCTGCCAGCCAGTATCGCCAGTCTAGAGCCTCTTTATATAAAACAGGAGAGCTCCCGGAAAGAGAACCTGAATATGTTCCATGGACAGGTGAGAATAGTGAAAATGTTAGGCAAATTAATATCGGTTTTAAAACATTAACAAATACTCTTCATGTGTTTCAGAACATTTGACCGTATCCTCTGAAGTCTTTGTGTTAGCTCGAACTGTGAATATTAAACTGGACAGTGCTGTTATGCGCTATTCTAACCTTGTATGTAGATATCCATATGGATAGTAGAACCTAATGGTTTAGTTTGTTGATGAATGGTTGGTTTCTCCATTACTGATGATATTCCTTTAAGCTTGTTGCACTGGATACTGAAAATCTGGCTACAAAACAAAGGTGCCAAAAGTTGGGAGGCAGGACTAATTTTTGTTTTTAGGGTGTCCTGATTCCAGCGGACAAGATCATGATTTTTTTGTGTAACTTTCGAATGAAGCATAAAATATTAATCTTGCTCTGTTTAACACAGGCAGATAGTGTTCAGGGCTCCCTGTCAAGAGTAAAAAGAAACCTGACAGTTGCCCACTTTGCTGCTTTGTTAAGTATTTGTGCTTTGCTACTTGAGGATGCAATGCTGTGAAAAACTTGTCAGAACAAGTTTTGTAATGTAAACATTTTAAAGTTTTTCTTCCAGCTTTTGTCCATGTGGACCCCTCTTATGGTATGCGTGTGCTTCATGTAATCAAAATCAAAATCTTCCGAACAGCAGGATGCATTGGCGTTGTGTCTGTCCTGCATGTCATGGTGACCCCATGTCCAAAGGCATATATAGATCAGATTGGCTTTGATCACCTCTGTTCCCACTTCCCATCCCTGGCAGCAAGTCTTATCTCTGTGGTGTCTGCTGCACTCTGCCTCATAGTGCCTTTTCTTCTAAACTGATAATTAAGGTAGCTAGTCTAGTTAGTTTTTGAGGTGATATTTTTGTCCTGTTGGCAGTCCATTAAGTGTTCTGTTATTTTAATATGTTAATTTTTTTTTCTTCTGACTACTATGAACTGAGATCTCTCCCTGCTTAATGGCTAAGACCAAACCATCTGGCTTCGAGCCATGCCCATCACATAATGGACTCAGTCTGCTAACTGGTTGGGCATGGTAGGTAACTCTTGGTTGGCCCACAGCCATGTCGTGGATCATTGCTCTGTATGCAGGTCCTTCTCCGTCAGAACCACTTCTCCGTAGATAGTTAGTTAAAATTCTACCTGTTGAAGCAGTCCACAAGATTCTGAAAATGCTTCACAAACTCCAAAAAGGGATGCTCTTCCCAGGGATACCCATCCTTCAGCACCCCTTGGGGTGTGGATACTCCCATTACCTGTATCAAGAAAAGGGCATCAATCCTTTCAGTTCCTCTCGACACTCCAAACCGATTTCAGCACTGGCTGCACGCTTGGTGCCAAAGCCCTGTATCACTTACACCACATCAAGGCAGGACAGATCTGAGCTACTTTCTAAGGATGGCTCAATGTGGCAGCCCTCCTTCCCAGAGAACAAAAAAACCAAAACAAAGTCATGGGTTTTCTGACTCTTGTTAACTGACCCGAAAAGTCTAATTAGTTCAGACTGCCTAGCAAGAGCAGATTCTTTGCTCCAACCAGCTCCAAGCAAAATCAGGTCCACTCCCAACACCAAAACTCATTACTGGCAATGACTCCTTGTCACCAAGAACCTTGGTACCAGACCCAATACTGATACAAAAATCTTCAACAGTACCAGCAGATAGTTCAACTACAGACGTTGAGCCACCAGCACCAGCTTGGTTACCAGTGCTACCAGCACTGACTTTCCCAGTATCAAAAAGAATCAAGCCTTCAACACCAATATTCTCCATCTCATTAGAGAGAGGTCATAACCACCTGTAGGACAAATATACTCTTCTTCCTTGATAGCATCAAGCAAGGACCCTTCTCCAGATGTTCAGATCTCCTCCCTCAACCTGTTCCTTGGCAAACATCACCTTTGAGCCTCAGCACCTACCCAGCTCTATCCATTTGGCTTACCACCCTGGCTTTGTTGGGCATTCTGGCACTGCTCTAGGATCTACTCACACTCTTTCTGCAAATGACCTAGATCATCTTCCCCAGTTTCCCTTACTAGGTCAGTCAGCAAAGCAGGTCTCCAGAGGGAACAAGGGGGGGAAGCAATGTGAGGAGGAGGAAGACGAGATGAAAATACTCGTTTTAATGTGATGAATGTTGTTACTATTAAAGTTCTATGCTATGGGAGAGGACATAACATTTATTCTCCTCCTCGCTCTTGCAACCTCTGCTGCTCTGATCTCTCAGTCACTTGTTAGTTTGATTCTGTTCTCATGTATATTTGCTGCGTCTCCAGTAGAAGTGTTTACTTGGCACAGGTTAAAATCTCTGGAAACCACTGAAGACTTGTTTGTCAGGGAACCCATCAGTGTAGCTGAATTAGCAGTGGCATGAATAGTAACTCTGGGAAATAATTTGCGGGTTAAGGCCTCTGTGTGTTGGAGTGCGCTATGTTGATGCATGCAGAACCTTGTGACAAACAGTTTGATAGACTAAAACTTGACAACCACTGTCCTGTAGTAGTTAGAGCTGTTTGCAGTGCCTCATAACAAGGATCTCAGAATATTTTCTGATCTTTATACTTTTTAAAATTAAATTGTTAAAATAAAACAGATCCAAAAAAATCCCAATATAAACTTTTCATTTTTTTATTGATTGGATTGAAATAAATCTTTTTTCCTACTGCTCATCAAATCTCTTGTAATCAGTTACAATTTTAGTATGTGTCAGTGTCAGCATGTCAGTCTATATTTATGGTATGTAAATTGGTTGATTACTTAAAAGCAAAATTGCTTTAGTTGTACTTGGTTTTTATTGTACGTATGGCATAAGACGTTAGGGGCTCAGAGTTAACCTGTGGATAAAATGGGAAGGATAGAATTAATGCTTAGTATTAATAATATAAAAGAAAAATGGGAATATTTAAAGAAATAGCTAATTTCATTGCAACTTTTTTCTGGGTCGCTGACAAATTCAGATTTGAAATTTGCAATGTGATACGTGCATTCTATACTGAGTGTTTCAGGTGTTCTTTATATTTTTTTCTCCATATTTTCTGTTTCCCCAGTGGTATTTGAGTCACACCAACAGCGGTGTATGTAGCCATCACAGCTCTAAATAAGACATTTCCAGCTCCCAGGCCCTCTTCCGCTCAAACAGGTTCCTAGCTACTTGTCACAGAAGCTTATGCACCTCCTGTTCCATCTGCTCTGGCCTTCCAGTACATTCCTGCTTTATTGACGAGAACTGAGGGGCAAAAGGTTCCTCATTCACTTTCCTTCTGGATCTGTGGACGGACTCCCCCTGCTATTTGTTGACCTTTGGATAATTCTCAAGAGGCGTTAGCTGGATCCTGTTGTATTCCCCTAGCTCTATGGAAATGTCCCAAGAAAAAGCTCCCTCCCTAGCTCATGTGTGTACACTACTTCCCTACTGCTTAGTTCTGTCTAGGGATCACAGAGAGGGGAGGAACATCTTTTCTGCCACTGCTTTTTTATTTACTTTTGCTCCTGTGGGATCTTTACATTGTGTATAATTTAAAAAAAAATTAATATAGAACTTCAGAAATTATACCATTTATGCCAATGAAAAATAGCGAAAAAGCAGCAGCCAGCTGAACTAAGACAGCAGCAGCTCCACTTTCGTTTTGTTCCCTTTAAACACTCTCTGGGGAATTGTGTATATGTGGGTTCCCGGAGTACTGTACGTACCAGTGTGATAACTTTTCATGCTTTTCCAGTGCACATGCAGGCACTGACAGAAGCACAAAGTAAACACTGAAAATGTGAGAAACACTACAATCTTTTAGATATCTTTTGCATATGGTGGTGTATCTGTCTCTTTAATGCCTATAATTGTGCTCCCTTCATACTATCATAATATATAAAGTCACAAGCTAATTATAGAATTTAATTTTTTTAATGTTGACTATTTTTTGTCTTTCCAAGCATCTAGTGGTCCAGCTGGCATACGAACAGCAATAATACGTCAGCATGGAATTATTCTGAAAGTTGTTTATCCTCAAGTGGATAGTAACCTCCGTAGCATTGTGGCTGAACAGTTGGTGGCGCTGCTAGATTGCTTTCTAGATGGCTTTGTTTCTCAGCTTAAATCTGTGGACCGGCCTGCTGATCAAGAGAGATACAATAATCTAGAAATGGAATATATTCAGAAAAGATCGGAACTTTTGTCTCCTCTTCGTAAGTGATGATCTCTTTTCTTTAGTGTAAGGATTAACCATTCATCTAGGAAATAATGCATGGAATGTTTGGATCCAAGCAAATACAGAAAGTAAAAAAAAAAAAATTAATGTTCCATATCTAGAGTAAAATGACATTTCTATGCAGCGTATTAGTTGTTGGTTTGTTTGTATTATTTAATGGGGAATTTAGCTATAGAAATAGATTGACGAAAATGGAATTCTTATTGTGGTGATCCTAAATCAAACCTATGTAGCAGACAGAAGTCTCCTTCCTGAATTGTAAAATCAGTGCATTCTTTCCAATTACTTATTGCATAGCCTGATGCCAGGAACTTGATATGACTTGACAGTGTTGGATGAAAATAGCTTTAAAATATATTTCTAAGTAAGTCTACTTTGTTGCTACTTAGCCATAGATCTGTTTGAATATTTATCAAGTGGTACATTCATCTAACAGCATAAATATTAATTGTATAATGTTGATTATATATGATTTTAATAATCCTAGCTTAACTTGTCATTGATGTAGCCAAAATATTTTGGGTTTAATAATGTAATCTTGGAAACAGTGCTCACTTATAATAGGTAGCACAATATTTGGTAAGTTTATGAACCTGATGTTTTTTTAGGCTTAAAATGAATTAAATTAATAGAACAGTTGAATATTAAATCCATGAGCTTTTAATATTATAATTAGGGAAGTCTTTGTTAAGTAAAGAAATTGCATGTGTTAGTCTTTTTATACTAACATACATATATTCTGTTAGTGTGTAAATATATACAAGCTCTGTAGCATTGTATTCAGTTTAAAGCTTTAATTTCCTTAGCAGCACACTGATGGCCCTTGAATCTCATTTCTCTTGACTTTACTTGGATCAAAATAGAAGTGACCAATAACATATTGTGTATATAAATCTAGTAATCCTTATAATTGATTTCTACATTGACAAAATGTCTTTGTCTTGTTACTTTCTCACTTTTGGTGATGCCTGATTATGAACTGTAAATATTTATGAAAGCAAATAATTTCAAAGGTGCAAATGGGAGTGGTGTGCTTACTTTCAGAGGTAGCTGGGTGCCTAACAAGCCTGTGTGGCTCTGAAAATCTCCCTGGATTTATCGTGCTACTTACTGTATATATTATACGTGTATGCATGTTTACATAAGCACACACATCAGTTGTGGTTTGAAAGCACAAATGAATGCATACTTGATATACAACTATTTTTCTATTGCAGGGATTTTGAATTATTTTTATTATTGTGATCCAAGACAGCATGCATCCTCTTGCAGCCAAAGAGTGTGTTTGATTGACTTGTTTCTCTTTTGGGTTCCCTAGTTTCCCTAGGACAGTATCAGTTGGCAGCTGCTTTAGCAGAGAAGTACTGTGACTTTGATATCTTGGTACAAATGTGTGAGCAGACTGATAATCAGGCCAGACTACAACGTTATATGACGCAGTTTGCAGATCAGGTAACTTTTTTCTCACTCGTTTAGACATTGTTCTGCAGTAAGATCGGATATAAATCATTGCCAACAAAACACTGATGGTAATTTTAGGCTTTCAAAATCCAGTTAATAGACTTTGATATCTTAGGTCATTTTTATATTTAAAAAATTCTTTTCCTACTCTTTTGATTCTCCATTCTAAGTGGTACAAAAGTAAAATGAATCTTGCTGAACAAAAAGATTTGTATCTAGAAATGGGATTTTAACTTGTTTAGCGGGTGATATCCCTCTTCTGATATTCTGTTAGCTTCAGGATATGAATTTAAACTGGCGATTCAGTAGTCAGTTTAGTTACTACTAACAATTTTTAACTTTTTTTTCTATCTTCTTTAGTCGTTTTCTTCTGTGTCATTTTGGCAATAAAGTAAAATGTTTTAAATTGTTTGACTCACCTGTACTACGTAACATATGTTCAATCCTAATCTATTTCTAAGTCTTGCAAGTACATGCACAAGGTAAAGTGACTTGTAGTGTTCTGGAGTCTTCTGTCTTTGCAAGTGTGTGTGAGACTTCCACAATCATGCATCTAATTTAAAGCCTTATAAAAAGATGATTCTTTATGGTGGTTTTATATATCACACCAAAAAGATATAAACAAAAGAATCCTTTTGTTTTTTATTATAACTGTTGAGTTAGAAATAATTTGGTCAAAATATAGTAAAACTCTGTGTGTGGTAATCGTAAGCAGTGTGTACACAGTTTGTTGAAATTTGAGAATTAATAGATCACAGTCTTGAATGCATTTTATGGACAATGATTCTGCATGTGAGAATAATTCATAACAAGGGGCAAAATTCTCCACTCAGATCCCTATGGCAGACTTCCAAACTAATATTCTACTTTCCCTGCCTACTCAGATTGCTTATTGATGGCAATGAACTTTCCAAGAGTAAAGAGCAAAGATGTAATCTGTAACAACTGAAGTTCATACTAACAATGTTCCTTTTGAGACCAAAATATTGAGTTGCTTATAGATTAAAATATGTAGAGAATGGTGTAGATCCTCTTCCATAGACACTTATATTTTTGATCAAAACACTAGCTTTTTCACTAGCATTTTGTTAAACACTTTTCCCTCTGGTTTTGTTGAGCAGCTAAATCCATGTCCTAACCACCTGTGGTCTGTATAGCATTTGTGTTGAAACTAAATTGGACACAAAAACTGACATCAGTTTTTAACATGTATTCATCTCCTGTAATCTTTAGAATTTTTCAGATTTCCTGTTTCGTTGGTACTTAGAAAAAGGAAAGCGAGGAAAGCTGTTATCTCAGCCTATTGCTCAGCATGGACAGCTGGCCAGTTTCTTGCAAGCTCATGAGCATCTCAGTTGGTTACATGAAATCAATAGTCAAGATCTGGAAAAGGTAGGATTTCTTCATATAAAATTAACTGAAACATTTGTTTTAAAACTAACAATTTGTTGAATATACATACAAGTGTAAGGGTGTACTAGTCATGACCCTTTGATGTCACTGACTAATATTTTGGATCAAGAAAGCTTTTATTATAACAACACCCTTCCCACCTTCAATTAAAGTAAAAGCGTTCACAATGAATATTTCCTAACGCCCTCAATAAGTCTTCCAGCAAAATCAGGGAAACCCAAAGTTGACATTCTTGATGCTTTAAAACAGGGGTCCCCAACACGGTGCCCACGGGCACCATGGCGTCTAAGTGCGCCCGCGTATTGGCCGGCAGACAAGCATCTGCTGAAATGCCGCCGAGACCTTGCTGCTTATCGGCAGCATTTCGGTGGATGCTCGTCCGCCGCCACGGTCCTCCGTGGCTCGTCATCTGGCACCCGCCAGACGAAAAAGGTTGGGGACCACTGCTTTAAAACGTGGTAAATCTGTTGTGTGTGTTTGTTTTTGTTTTTAAATCATCCTTTCCAACTTTTTTTATATATCGTAAAGTAGCAGTGGGAGTTAAATTACTTTGTTTTTCTCTGGGTAAAACATTAACATAAGACGTTAATATTTTTTGGAAAATACAACTGATGTCCTATTCACATGGACTGAAACTTTTCTTTTCAAAGTAAAGCATAGTGAATAGAGGAGCAAGGAACCCAGAAAAGAACGGAAAGTGTCAGACTAATTTCTGAATTAATATATTTTCATACCAGAATTTTTCCACTCCCATGTCTGACATACCAGATGTATAGGCAAGGATTCATTTGTTACCTCAGAACTGTACATAAATTTCAGTTTCTAGCTAAGTAAACATTCTTGAAGTAACAAGTGAATCAGTCTGCATGTGAAACTGCCCCTTTAAGCTCATTCTGATCTGGTATTTGTGCTTATTTGAATAAAGTCAGTGCTTTAGTGTGTAAAGTAGCAATTCATCTGCTTACTTGATCCTTTGATCATGTGACAATTTTTCTTGACTAACAATGAAACACGCATTTAAATTGTTGGACATTGGTTTAGGAATAAAGATCTGTCTTATCTCTGTGGGCTGAAACGAGGTAGGTATAATTGTTGGATGCCAGGTAATTCTATTTTAGAAATTACTAAAAAATATTTAGAGAAACAAGAAAAATGGTAGGCCAGCTCTTACTAATTATTTATCTTTCTGCCAACTCAGCCCACTGTTTAGTCAGAGGTTTTATTTACATACCTTAGGGGAACACTGTGATCAAGACCAATCAAAATAATCATAACTATTCACCATGGCTATTTTATTATTAAAGAAAGCATTAAACTAAACAACACGAATGATTGACCACAAATAATAAACTTCCATTTGTAATCGCTTCTGTATGTCTCTCTGTGGAGAGCTTTTAACAGCGATTACGCCCTTGAGAGTGAACCACCGCTGGGGGGCGCTTTTCTCTTGATAAGTTGAGATGAAATTTGTGAACTCAGTTTTAGTATCTTAGATACTTAAAACTGTTTATGCATGTGATGGGGTTCCCGGAGTGCAACCTGGACTGTGGGACCAGTGAGCCCTCTGTCCCACCAACGTGGGCTGCCTCTTATACTATGATCTGTTGGCAAGCTCCAAACCTCTGGTAGGTACAGTACTTACACAGACATTCACAGGCAGGGACACACCCAACTGAGTTACATGAATGCTTCTCCCAGCCACTCATGAACCAACAGTAGAGAGGCTCCAGCCAATTCCCCCCAGCTCCCCAGACTCGCATTCCCGAACTGTATTGTCTTGCCCTGGTCAGAAACCTGACCATTGTAAGTTCATTACTCAGTCTGCCCCTCCCTCTATGTGGAGAGGACACACACTAGTAAACTGAGCTGAGTATTCCCAGCTCTTCAACCAAAACACACTGTTTTAGGTAAAATATAAAACAGATTTATTAACTACAGAAAGATAGATTTTAAGTAATTATACCACTCTCCCCAGTTCAAAATCTTTATCCTCCAGACATGTTTCCAGGTGTTGAGTTGTAAGGGAAGTGAGGCCAAGTCATGATGTCACTTCTCCTCTTTATAGTTTCTTCCAGCTTGCTGGAAAGATCTTGTGCTATGACGTGGGTGAAGCAATCTCCACTGTATATGTGCACTCTCTGAGATGGTCGTTAGGAGAGTGGATTTCCTTCAGTGGACCATCAGCACATCTGGCTACTCCATTGTTGTACCTGAAAGGCTTGTTGTGGGTGTTCCCAACCTAACAACATTTTTCAGTAACGCTCACATAGCAAAACTTCATAACCTCACTTACAAGTATAGCAAATACAATCCAACAGAATATTAATGTTCAACAGATCAAGACGTTTAAAATGATCCCTCACAAGGCATAGTTTGTACAAAACGTATCATAACTATATGACAGTAGTGAATATGGGGGTTCCAGGGTGCTGCTTTGAGGTACAGAGTGCCAAAATGTATGGGCAAAATAATTTAAGGGCAAATGAAGCCTGTCTAATTATTATAGATAACCAAACAGTTTATTGTTGGGCAAAATAAGCAATCTTAACTAAATTCTATGAAATTGAAGAAGATACTTAAATTAGTTACTTAGAAGAAGCTATTTAAGGAGCTGCCTTTAAAACAGGCTAATTACAAATATTAAGAATCTTAAATCTGGTTACATTCCACTATTTATCGGTTTACCAATATTTAGTCCCTGTTTCCTTTCCAGGAACACGTGGTCTAAGCACTTGGTGATTAACAGGAGAAACTGTTAGCCGTTCAGCGTTTCAGCATTTTGATATTCCAACAAAATCATTACAAGAGTTTTAAATCTAATCCCTTGGCAGTTTATTAGTTAAATTCCTCTCATCAATCCATGTTGAAGTCTTGGGGAGGTTTTCCATAGTTTGGTTTCTTCTTGAGTCTTCTCTGTTTTTTTCTTATCTGTCTGTGGCAGCTTGTTTATAGAGTGCTGTGTAACCGAGGGTCTGTTGAGCAGGATAACACAGGTTGGGGGGGGGGGGTGTTCTCTTCTGAGTTTTTATACCCTTTTCCTTCCTGTTTTCATGAAATTATAGGAAAATGCATCACTTTCAGGCCTGTTTAGATTCGAGACAGTTGCTGTCTTTTCATTGGCTTCATGCCTTTGGGGTTGGCCTAGGTGACCCTTTCAGCTCCTGAAATATGCAGTCTGTTTAATGAATATGCAACATTTCTTTAATTGCCTTTGTTCTTATAACAGGAAACCATCAGATAACTAGCTTTGAAAAAGAGAAATTCTCTCTTTTTAATCAGTCCATTCTAGATCTGTAATGTCTGTTCTGAGATATTCTTTCAATTTTATTAGTTTGATAGGAAATGAAATTGTTTTCAAAAAGTCCAAACACTTCTAAAAGAGATCTTTTTAGTTCTCAAAACAGTATTTTAAAATTAAATAACTTTCAGAAGTCTTCAGCTTAATTTGTTGATTCCATATGACAGTTTTTGGAACTGTGATTTTCTTGTCTTCCTGCATTGGGTGAGGGTTTGCTTCTGCACTGCTGCTAATTAATTAATTCCTCATTAATATAAATATTCTATACTTAAATGTCTTCTTACACTAGTTTAGCAAGGTCATTACATTTCATGTCGGTACGTAAAGCATTTAACTGTTTACACAGCAATGACATCAGGAGCTATATTAGGACTATTGCATTTAGCTAACATTTGCAAGTCTGCATTTCACAAAGGTGTTTGTCATTTCAGCATTAAGAAATAAACAAAAGTTTAAAATATCTCCAACATCATATGTTTTTTGCTAAAGTTTTTAAGAACACAAGCAGGTTTTCTTGCTAGAGGGTAGGGTTAGTAACGCCCACTTTACCAAGATTAATTGATCGGATAACACAAACCCTGCATTTCTTTCACAAGCATGTTATTTTCCTAAAACGTGAATGCTTACGTTTGTCTGCATGTAATTTGCTTGTTGTTAGAAAATAGAAGCAGAAATCTTTGGAATTTCTCTGATTAGCTTTAACATTTTGTAACATAACTAGCTAAACATATGTATTATTACATTTCCAATCATCCTTGCAATAACATTCGTTTAGCTAGATGTATTAAAAGACGCAGACAAGTTTGTAACTACTTAAAAAAATTAAATTACAATAATTTTATTAATATCACTTTTGCATCAATATTGAAGTCTTTTTGCCACATGTCCTAAACAGCAAAATGCAGAACTTCAGTTTCCAAGTGTGCAACTCTTTTTTTGGAGAGTTATAGCCTATAAAATCTTGGCGGGAGGGGGTTTAAAGAAAAAATAGCCATAAGGGTTTAGTTCTAAAGGAGTCCATCTATTCTCTTTCTCCCTGTGCCTTCGATGTTATTTCTAATACCCTTCTTAACTTTAGGCTCACAGAACGCTGCAGGCTTTGGCAAATGTGGAGACCAGATATTTTGCAAAAAAGAAAACTCTTCTTGGCTTGAGTAAACTAGCTGCATTGGCATCTGACTTTTCAGAGGACTTATTGCACGAAAAAATAGAAGGTAAGAAATAAGAGCAGAGCAAAGAGAACAGCAAGATAATGGATTTCTTTAATCAGAATCTTGTTAGTGTTACATATGGTAAAGTTAAATCCTTAGTGCTGGGCCTTTGGAAGTTTTCACCATTAGTGTTGTCTAGTGTCACTGGAAAATTTGGACCCTAATTCAAGGGTGTATAGTTATTTTTTAAAAGGCACTATCAGCTACTCTGGTAAATAGGTTAATAAAACTACTGCAATTTAAAAAAACAAAAACTCAAAACCACCTCTGATCATTTCTTGGAGCCTGATGCTGTATGGTGTTGACTGCCTTTGGAGTTGAGGTTACATGGTGCTACATGCCCTCATCTACTTGGAGGAGAAAGCCTTGGCAGCTTTAAAAGCCTTCCAGTTTTCCTTTATTAGTATATTTGCAATGTGAAAGTCTAAGCATGTGTACTGTTAACTTGGGTTGTCAATTTTTTTTAAATATGTCACTTCATTTTTTTTGGTAAGGAAATGGTTTCATAACGCTTTAATTCAAAACACATTGAGGCTGAGAGCACCTGTCCCCTCTCCAAGTGGCTATACAGATCCTGCAACCTTGCCCCAGTTTTCAAAGTGAAATATACCTTTCCAGTGATAGTAACTATTGCTGCATCTTTACTACCAGATTGTGGAAAGGCTCATGAAAGATTCGTTAGGAGTAGCTGCTGTAATATTGCCGACCAGGGGGAACATTACAACATACTTCACACAATCCCTAATACAATAGTATTTTGATTATTTGTTTTAGTACCTATTTATGGCTGTTCTTGAATCATCCCTTTCCTATCTGTGTTTTTAAACTTAATGACAGTTCACTGAATATCAACACTATTGTCATTTTAACTTTCATTCTTAATTAAAATACTCAGACTGGGGATGTATAAAGCTCCTCATTCAGATTTTGTAGGGAGGTGAACAGTAATCTGTACAACCCCAAGTGAAATAATACTGAAAATTACAAAGGATATTAATGGTAACTAAGCAGACTTTTTGAAACTGTGTCCTTCAGCTTTTAATATGTTTAATCTCCTACATAAACTTTTTAAATAAAATAAACTGGCAGCATCAAATTTTGAAGTTAAAAAGTCATATTTTTCACATTGGGGAAGCAGCCACTCTGGAAACATATAGCTGATGTGAAGAAACGCCTTCGAAACGTAATGATGAGAGCCTCGAATGAGAGAGAATGGTCTTGTGGTGAAGAGTTAGGAACTCAGGAGATCTGGCTTGAGTTCCCGGTTTTGCCAGAGACTACCTATGTGACCGTGGGCTAGTCACATAATCTCTCTATGTAAAATAAGGATAAGCTGTCCTTTCTCCAACCTTTGTCTTGGCTATTTAGACTGTACTCCTTTCAGAACAAGAACTGCCTCTGTACAGTGTCTAGGTCAGGACATCAGGGCCCCAGTCTCAGTTGGGGAGTCTGTGTGCTTCTGTAATACAAATAATTAAAAAAAAACTAAATAAACACACTCTTTAAGACAAATAACTTTGTAAACCTGAATAGTTTTGTGACCAGTCAGAATGTATTTGTATGTTTAATGATCACAATATAAATAATAATGTGAAATATTCTCCCCCCTAACTAAATGCAAGAAATATCAGAACAGGAGCGTTTTCTGTTACATCAGGAGACCTTACCTGAACAACTGCTGGCTGATAAACAGATGAACCTCAGTGTCATGCCTGTATTGACTGCACCTCAGCTTATCGATGTATGTACCTCAACTTTTCTTAGCTAAAGTTTACCTATGTGCTGCTATTTTCCACAGAATTGGTGAGAAGATCAGAATTGAATTGTCTTCTTGTTATTTAAAGGATGGTTTTCCATCCCACCCTCAGTTGTAAAATATGAATTGGTTATTTATACTTAAGCCTCCATTATGGCTTATGATTAAACTTCAAGGTATTGCTTCCAGTTCGTGCTTTAGCTTACTGGTTGAACATGTGCACTACCATGATGCATGGAGCAAATCAGAACAGCATCAAGAGCTGAGCTGTTGTATTGGGGCACTGTGTGGATACATGATAACTTGGAGTCTGGCTTAAGAGGCAGAAGGGACCCAGAACTTGCCACCCTTTGGAAGACGGATGTTGCAAAGTGGAAGAGGGGGGAGGGCTGCAACCAGGAAGGAGGGATTTTGATGACCAGCTGCACTGAGAGCCAAGAGAAAGTCTTTGATCCCCTACAGAAAATCCAGCCAAAAATCTGACAGAGCTGACTTTCTCTCCTTTGTCCCTCACTTCTTTTTGCAGTAGTAGCTACAATCACAAATTGCCTTACCAGTTCCTATGTCCTTTAGATAGCATGATCTTTTCATCTGCTTCTCTTTTACCACCCACTGATGTGTGCAGAAAGTAATAGAGGAATGCATGGTGGCAGCATGTTGCTACAGAACCTATCAGTGATGTCTTTTCTGGTATTCATTGCTCTCTGTACAGCCTCTACAAAAGAAGCAGCAAGTTGCACATTCTGTCATTACTGTCCCTCTATCTTCTTGGACTTGCCCTAGTAGTCAGCAGGTTCTAAGTCCTCTACCCACACCTTAAAGTAGGCTAGTTAGGGGGAAGGGGGAGAGGAGGAGATATCACATAATCCCTTTTCAAGCAGTTGGGACACTGTCAGCTGTCCAGTTTTCCTCTAATAAGTTCCTGCTACCATCAGATTAGTGTTCTTAGTCACTGTTTACAACCAGGAAGTGAAAATCAGGGGCTGGGAACAAAATATATTAGTCTTAATCTTAAATTTCAATTTAAAATCCGGATTGAAGGTTTCCTGTATGGAAACTCTATATTAAAGGGTGAATTGGCAAAATATGTGTCTGCAGTTTTAAATGGAAAAGGTTGATTTTGAATTTTGATCGCAAGCATGTCTGTTTTCAGGAAACGAACGATAGTGCATGCATTTTTATATTGCTGTGAGCTCGTTTTATTTGTGGAGCTGAGCTCTGGCTACAATAGGCTAGGAATGTTGCAGCCTTAAACGGCATTTAAATTTGAAACCTGTACTATAGCAGCCTTATATCCAATATAGTCTTTCCACAGACCATTGTCATGTGGGTGGAATGCTAGTCTAAAACCTTGACTGTATTCCTTACCATAAAAATACTTGCAGCCAAATCAATACATATTTCAATGAAAAGGTCACATAAGTGGAAAATACGTGGTGGTCTTCCCACAGAGTTCTTCACAATATCAGTTTACATCAGTTTGCAAGCTAAAAATAATTCTGTACTTAATCTTTTCATACCATAGCTGTACATATGTGATGAGAACAGAAGAGCTAATGAGTATGACTTCAAGAAAGCATTGGACCTGCTGGAATATATTGATGAGGTAGGAAAATGGTTGGATGATCTCAGAATCAGAGGAAGTATATTTTAACTTCTCTGAGCTGGTGTTATTACTGTAACTTGAGGGTTACATACTGGTCCTTGGTGCCCACCAATGGAAGTGATCTTTTCTAGTTTGTCAATCTTTGGAGATATAATGTCAAATGTGGTGTAGGTCAAAGTAACTGGTTTAGATCATAAGTGAAATAACACTTACCCTTGTAAACTGCAACAGGGTAGGCCATCTGTGTTCTATTGAGAACCTTGCCAGTCTAGAATTTGTCACCAAACAAGAAGGGGGCGGAGGTGTCCATCAGTTTTAGGAAAACAATACTCACTTGTCCACTATTATCAGTTTATCTGTGTGCCAATAAATAATCCAAAATGAATCTGCCATGCCTCCTCAAATTGACAAGACTACTTTGGCCTACGTCTGTGGTTTTTATCATCATGATAGTACTATTTAGGGCATAAAGCTTGCTGTCTTAAGCTTGTATCTTTGAGAGGTCATCATTTCTCCTTGCACACTCTTATTCCCTGTTTGCTGACAATTACTTCTGGCAATGCCAAAAATCAGCTCTCCAGGACCATCACTCCTGAGCAGCATTCTTCAACCAAAAATAAAAGCCATGTCACTTCAGAGCAGTGTTATTTCTGAAGTATCTAGGAAAGGTTGCTACAGAAGTGCTAGAAAGCATTTCTGTGCTTCTTCTTGGAATGGGGAGAATCCTCTCTGATGTTCCCAGCTCTTCCTAGTCTGGAGGGAAAAGGCTCCAGCTTGAATCTACTGTATGATAGTGCTACAATAAGGCCATTGTGTTGCCCAACAATAACTTTGTTGATCACATAGTTATTAAATTTAGATGATTTAAACCTTAAATTATGGTCTTTTCCTTGTTAAAGTTCCTTTTTGTAATACCTCTTAAGTAATTCTTATTTGTGCATAAGTTTTATGTAGAAAATATTTGCTTGTATTTTGTGCTTTTATTACACATTATTGTATGTAATGGAGGAGGAGAAAAATGTTAATGTTTGCGACAGTGTATTGTATTGATAGACCCAGAATTAGTTTTCTTCCACTTTAAACAGAAAAATGTTGCTTAACACACATACCCTGATTTGACTGCTATATAAGAACTAAGTGTAAATAATAACGTTACTTTGGGAGAGAATAGCAGCAAATGGGGTTACTGGACTTAGTTGCTACTCTTCTTTCATTTGTCATTGCCTTTTTCCAAGTTCCCACCATCCTTTATGAAAATAGTAATATAGTGTCATTTTAAGAAAATAAGATTTAAAAGAATCTCATTTAAATTAGAGAAACTTAGATGTCTGAGTAAGAATATACACTACAAATGGGAAAGCATAAATTAAACTAAAATTTCTGAGTGGACAAGGTCAGCCGAACTTAGGATTTCATCTGTATCGCCCATGGAGATGCACGATTGACAAGAGAAACTGCAGAATTTTGAGGCTAGACATGGGTTGCCTAATTGCTCTTGTTAGCTGTCCCAGTGACACTCTTATCTAACTGGCAAAAAGCTAATAGCACAAGGATTTTGCTCACACTCTTGCTTCCAGAATTCCCTCAGCCTAGATTTCTCAGTTTCTCCTGGGAGGGATTAAATAGCTGAGATGCCCAAGAAGGCTAATGGGAAAATAAATGGCCTTTTGTGGTGACAGCATCATTATCTGAGCAGGAAGGTCTCATGCCAACCCTCTTAATATCTATGCTAGAGGTCTGTCTGCACTACGGTAAAGGTGTATTTTAAAGACATATTAGCTAACACATTTAAAAACCCTAATGTAGATAGGGTAAACTGTATTTTAACACGTGGTAGTTATCTGGTCATTGTGAACACCTAGCTAGCATGTAAGACAACTGGCCCTGGGCACAGTAGGTTTTTCAAACAGATTAGCTAACATGGATTTTAAAATATAGAGATAGATAGATATGGGGTTAGAGAAGTTCATAGCCTCAGCTGCAGATGGAGAGAAGCATTTCTGCCTTCCATTTAGCAACAGCTTCTAGAGGTGTTCAAACTGTAGGATGCAGAGTAACATTGGGGGGGTGGCGGTGATGCCAGGCATAGCAGGGCTCAGGGAGGGAGTGCTACCTCCATCCCCTGACTCACCTCAGCAGACCACCCAGCCTGGGTTGGGGGGAGGCGTAACCAAAAATTATAACTTGTGGCGGGAGGGGGTTCAGCTCAAAAAGTTTGAAAACCGTAGGTAATGCTCCCTTTTCAGTAGCTCAAACATGGGACTGATATTTTCAGAAGGTTTTTATTTTTATTTTTTTATTTCTAATTTCTATCAGATGCTTTTAGGTCTTATCAGCTATTACTACTTTCTCAAATAGGTTTAAATAGGTGAAACCATCCTTAACTCTCTGACATATGAGCACCGAGAACTTTCATCTTTTTCATCTAGTAACTGTATCTCAACCAAAATGCAGTAATTTGTGGTTTCCTGAAACAGGTCTTTCCCACAAATGGGTGGCAGTTGAAAAACATGGCAGCCTTACCATAATGCTGTAATTGATTTTTTCTATATTTATTAAGACCTACCTCTGCTAGTCACTGTTGGTTTATCTCTTAGGCCCTACTTATGTTCACATCACACTCTTCTATTACTTGGGCTGTGCTGGTTGGCTTCTTAACTAGAGGACCTGTTTGTATTTGCTTTTATTTTGCACCATTTTTGCTGACTTTCCCACAAGTTTTGTTCTTTGTAATGTGTGCAAGCGTACAAAAAAAGTAGAACAAGAAATTGTGCCCTAAATGTTGCATTGAATGTAGAGTAAGTTTCAATCTTTTCTCTCCTGTTGATTCTTTTCTGTTTTAGAAGACAAGATTATTTACCCTTTGCAAGCCTCTCAGATTTGGTGCTAACAATTGTCCTGATACTAGGGCAGTAGTGCAAAATTACTCAGGGTCAAATGATAATATATTGGCCAGTTAGATGGTTTGACAATGTAAGGGTATAACACAGCTGCATAGAAACATACATACATATTACAACGCTTACTTTCTCTCATACTGCATTGTGCTTATGCAGTACTGTTTTATCAGAAGATTTCAAAAAACTAAGTCTCAAAACTCCTGTGAAATAGATCAGTAAAGTGAGGCACAGGGAGGTTATTGCTTATCTACAGTAAGCAGAGCTGAATAGAATTCAGAGGCTATGTGAAGCTTGCAGCCCCTGCATTTGTGAATCAAATGAACCAAATGACTGACTGAAATTTGGACAAATAGCAAGTTTTAGTAGGTTTTTGTGTCAAAACCATGTGAAATTACTGCATTTTTCACTGTTTCCACCCCAAGTCATAACTGGGCTTCATTTCAGGTACCTGTCCCAAGTGTTGAAGTGGTAACAAAACTAGGCAGTTTTGCTTTGAGGGTTTTGAGAGATGGTCTGCTTTGACCACTAGACGGTACTGCCTCTCTGCAATGAAGTAGACAAACAGGTTCCTATGTACTTGTTACCAATATCAATTATTCTTCTGTAAATAAGAGTAAAGAAAGCATCCAAGTCAACTCTGGGTTCTGGATGTGATGTGGTGGTTAGAAAAAAACCTTTGTCTTTAAAAAAAGAAAAAACAGCAGTTAATATTAATTTTCCTTTTCTTTTTAAATTGAAGGAGGAGGAAGTGGATGTAAATGATCTTAAGCTTAAAATTCTTTGTAAAGCTCTCCAAAGAGACAGGTAGGTCATAACTGAACATACATGAAGTGTACAATTTTCTCTATTCATAGCATTGATTTTTCTTAATTGTAAATGTTTGTACTAATCTCCAGCGTCTAATATCAGATTGAATGTTCAAATGGTATGTATGTATGTTTAATATAGATTCTGAAAAGTCTGTCCAGAACAATGTGTGTTTTTAGAGGGAGGGGAGAGGTATCACTTACAAAGCTATTTCTGTAATAGTTTATCCATTAAATCTTCTAGCTATTCTACAAATACTTTAAACATTTAGGGAATTAAAATGCAACTATGTGATTTCTTGAATTTTCTTTTGCCCTTTAATGGGGGAGAGAGATGACTGGCTGTGAAACTGGATTTTCTTCTTTGAGGCTAACAGCATATTTCCACTTGTGGAATAAGCAGATCCCAAGCTTGGAATCTTCTAGAGCAGTGTTTCTCAACGACCGGTCACAGTTTGGGAAGACAGCAAGCTGGTCCTTGGTATAAGGTAGAGAAACACTGTTCTAGAGTATTGTCCATTGACGCTATTGCTGGAGACTTTCATGTCACTTATGCTGGGCACAGAACTACTTTGACAACTTATTCCCTAGAGCCAGCAGTGCTGGATGTTCAGCTCTGGACTTAGTTGAGTTAGACAGTTCCAAGGACCTTGGTTCTGCTATGTTGGACCCAACACTTTGGTAAGCTGTCCCTCACTTTGTAGTCAACAAAACAGGATCATTTGTACTGGAAGAGACCAGGGACCTAAATATTGTTTTAGCTAGCTATAGAGCCCCTTTGACTGATCGCCAAAGTCAGTGCTGGACACACCTTACTAGACTTAATCAACTGGATCTGAAGAGTTTCCCTCATCACCAGTGTTTGAGGCAACCCTCCTGCTCTTCACAGATCTGTAGATGAGCGGATCTCAACCAGGGGTACTCCTATCTATGGGGGGTACACAGAGGTCTTCTAGGGGGTTCATCAACTCATCTACATATTTGCCTAGTTTTATACAAGCTACATAAAAAGCACTACTGAAAACAGTACAAATTGAATTTTCATACAATGACTTGTTTAGACTGCTCTATATACTATACACTGAAATGTAAGTACAAGATTTATATTCCGATCGATTTATTTTTTAATTATATGGTAAAAATGAGAGAGGCAGCAATTTTTCAGTAATAGTTGCTGTGACACTTTTGTATTTTGCTGTCTGATTTTTGTAAGCGAGTAGTTTAAGTGAGGTGAAACTTGGGGCAGACAAGACAAATCAGCCTCCTGAAAGGGGCACAGTAGTCTGGAAAAGTTGAGAGTCACTACTCTAGATGTATTGGAGCATAAGCTTTCCTGGGTGAACACCCACTTCGTCAGACGCATGTCACATGCGTCTGACGAAGTGGGTATTCACCCATGAAAGCTTATGCTCCAATACATCTGTTAGTCTTAAAGGTGCCACAGGACTCTCCGTTGCTTTTTACAGATCCAGACTAACACGGCTACCCCTCTGATACTTGACTGCTCTAGATAATGCCCATGACATGTAGGCACCCTTTCCTTCTAGTTTTCAAATGCTAGTCAGTCAGATTTTTGAACTATGGTCATACCCCACCCCCGCTCCAAAAGGACAGAAGGAAAAAAAGGGGGGCGGGATAGCTCAGTGGTTTGAGCGTTGGCCTGCTAAACCGAGGGTTGTGAGTTCAATCCTTGAGTGGGGCCACTTAAGGATCTGGGGCAAAATCAGTACTTGGTCCTGCTAGTGAAGGCAGGGAGCTGGACTCTATGACCTTTCAAGGTCCCTTCCAGTTCTATGAGATAGGTATATCTCTATATATTTAAAAAAAACCAGTGAGGAAAGAGCATATTCCATGCCCACTGCACCTTTGGCAGTCAAAGGAGCTGAAGAGCAGTTGGAGCCACTCCCACTTAAAGGGGAGGTTCCAAAGAACAGGGATTTCCAGAAAACTCCAAGCTTGCATGGCCAGGGAGCATTTATCCTACAAGTTGGAATATGCAGGCAACATAGTTATTTCTGATTAGTAACCTTCCCCACTCCTTATTAAATTACCCCTGATTAAAGCCTTCACAATTACAGCCTAACAAGTTTTTAGGCCTTGTCCATGCTGGGCCAAGAACAGAGTTTAGAAATGGTATTTAAACTCTGCTAGAACAAATTTTAAACATGGCTCTCATCCACATTGGCTAGCTAATCTGTATTAACCAGTTTGGGTGGAATAGTGTTTAGATAGTTTACGTATAATTTCCAGATTTGGTTCCCACTTCCCTGAGGTTCTGCAGCCAAGGAGGCTAATCCCTGTTCCAAGGGAGGTAGTGACCATTCTCTAGCATCTGCAAAGTGCTACATTAGGCATTCCACAACACCTGCTTTTAGGGGTGAAGCTTGTTACATTCCCTAACTTGATTACTATATATGGTGACAATATATATCTTTGGTACAACACCGAGACTCGCTAAGCATGCTTAGCAACATCCTAACATAGTGCTGGACTTAGTTTCTCTCATTCTCTTCACCACTCATATGCCTGTAGAAGGAGTGAAGATAGGGGGAAAGGAGGGTAACAGGGAACTTTTGTCTTTTTTCTCACCAATAAAACCATGGGTGAAATCCTGACCCTGTTGAAGTCAATGAGAGTTTTGCCACTGACCTCATTGGAACAGCGGTTTCTCCCCAGATGCTACTTTTTGTTGTTGTTAGTGTACCTATTTGGAGACATGGCTGAGAACTGACCAAACCATCCATTTCCCAGTGACCACACAAGTAATTATGTCCATTTTAGGTCTGAAATAATGGGTATATCTACACTGCAATTAAAAACCTGCAGCTGGCTCATGCCAGCTGGCTCAGGCTCACAGGCTAAGGTACCGTTTAATTGCAGTGTTCAGGCTCGGGCTGGAGCTTGAGCTCTAGGACTCTGTGAGGTGGGAGGGTCCCAGTGCTTAGACTGCAGCCTGAGCCCAACATCTACATCACAATTAAACAGCCCCTTAGCCAGAGTCAGCAGGTACTGGCCAGCTGTGGGTATGTAATTGCAGTGTAGCCATACCCAGCGTAATTCCAGGCTGCATGGCATTTGACATTGGGGACAAGAAACCTCAGCAACTGAAAAATCCAGTGCTAGCAGCAAGGGAAGTTATTTTAAATCAGGGTTTTTTTCCCCCTTTCTGCCAAGCAAGAATGGTTTGAATTAGGGCTTCAGCAACAGCCTGACCTTTCCCTTGAATGACTCCGCCTATGTGATCACATATTAAGGCTTGCAAAGCTCAGAAACTGGATATTTTGTGCTGAGTTAGGGCCTTGAAATTTTAAACCTTTCACTCAACATTTTGTTCTTCCTTTGCTTCTCCTGTTTAAAAAAGTATGTTGGCAAGTTGCCTTTGCTTCAGTGTTCTGAAGTATGTCTTTTTACATAAAACTCTTGTCAGAATAGTGATTGTGGAATAATTAAAATAATTGTTTAAACTAGCTTATTTAGACCCATGTGTGTAATTGATTCTGAGTTCTCCAATTGAAGCAAATAACTTTTTTCCGCTGTTACAGTTTCGTCAGTAGGGAGGCATTCTTATTATCTGCTTTATTAGATTGTCTTGTAATGCCACAATTTTAATAAATTTTTCCTCTAAAATATTAAAAAGATAATCCGTTCAGGATGCAACGAACACTAGCTTTCAACTGTAGAAATGCACACAGAATACAGGTATACGCCAAGAAAATGTATTGTTTAGTATCAGGTTTTTAATTATCCTGTTCTCATATTTAATCAAGTTTTTAATCAACTTTACAACTTATAATTTATACTTTCTGAGTTGCAGTTGGTCCAGTTCAGAAGGTAAAGATGATCCAATTGAAGCATCTAAAGACAGTATATTTGTGAAAATACTACAAAAGTTATTGAAAGAAAGTAAGTTGTTATATGTAAAAAATACTTTCTCAAATTACTGTATGTCATCCTTGTTTTAAAACATACTTAACAAATTACTGTATGTCATCCTTGTTTTAAAACATACTTAACAAAATAAACAGCTTTTATCTATAAAAAGTAGAACAAGAAAGATGTAAAAGAAGCAAAAAAATTGCATCAGTAATTCATTAGATAAAAATGTGACCATGTGGTACCCTACTCTAGCTTTATGTATTGTTAGGGAGGTGACAAAACATGCAAGTTCTCTCTCTCGGAGCCTCCAAATTACATCTGTTTTGCAGGAAAATAGTGGAGTGTGGTTTTTTTTTTTTTTTTAGTAACTCATTATTCTACAACGGAACTCAGCCTCCAGTGTGAAAATCCCCTATGGGACAGGAGGAATTTAAAGACACCAGGACTATAATTCAGAATGGCTTAATTGTTTTAACTCACACTTTTAAAAAATTGACAAAAAGCCTTGTGTTCAGTCCAATGAAGCAACATCACAACTCAAAAGGAATTTTTTGGATGAAATTTTATAAGCAACTAAAAGAGATTAGAATAGTAACTCAACCTTAACTATAATCACAATTTTAAAACGCTATATTGTCAAATGAGAGAAGCTTGAAGGTTATAAATATGGAAGTGCATTTCTTCAGAACAGTTTTATGTTGCATTTTTAAACCTATCTGATTCTTGACCTTTTTTAAGGGCTGCAGTATCCAGTCATTTGGACTAAGTCCATTTTAATTGATCAAAAGTATGATTCATCATACTACTTTATTTGTTAAACAGGCACTTTGTGGAGTTTACATAACTATTAAAATATAGAATATGAAAATGGTCAAATTGAGGAGGGGAATATAATAAACTGAGTTCATTGTTTAAAGATTTACAGAACACTTTATAGAGTTGTTGCACTGCATGACACAGTAGATGGAATAGAATTAGAACAGTCTTTACAACTGCAAACAAATGATTCAGGAACTGAAATGCAGGTACAGATGTTTCCATTGGCATCAAGCATCCTATCTAAGTATCTTACAGTTTCTATAATGCACGTTTATTTGTGTTGTAGGAGTTCAGCTCAGTGAATATTTACCGGAGGTGAAGGACTTGTTGCAAGCAGATGAACTTGGCAACTTGAAATCCAATCCTTATTTTGAATTTGTGCTAAAGGCAAACTATGAACACTATGTTCAAGGACAAGCATGATGACTTTTAACATTTTTGAAAGTAGAAATTTCTAAAGAACTGAATTAAAGCAGTGTATACTTTTTTACATTCTGTATGTACTTCGTTAAACCTTTGTAATAAAGTTTATACAGTAATGTGTTTGGCTTTTGAAATTAACAGTCTTTACAATATAGCTAAGTCTCTTAATTTATCTCTGGGAAATTCACTTTCTCTCCCGATGGCTGTAAATGTATGGCTGATTTTCATTTTCTGTGCCTCTTTTGGTTTCACATTTGTTCTGTACTTTTGTCTCGTGTGCAGGAAGTCTCAACACTGGAGGCACATACACCTGGGTGAAATCCTGGCCCCATTGAGAACCATGAGAGTTTTGCCATTGACTTCATGGGGCCAGGATTTCACCCCGGGAGTATATATTGGAAAAAATACAATAAATGTTAAATGATGGCCGAATATATAGCTTTTTGGATTAAGAAATGAAAGCCATGCTTGTGTAAGGCACTCTGCTTAGAAATTAGGCTTTTGGTATAAAACTTTGCATTGATACAACACCTTCCATCTGAAGAGATCCATGCAATACATGGATAGGTAAGTAGTCCCCATTTACAGAAAAGGAAACTGTCACAGAAATAAGTGACTTGCACAAGGTCACTCCCTGTGCCAGTGGCAGATAGGAATAGAACCCAGATCTCCTGACTCAAGTCACCTGGCCTAGCAAATACATCAATCTTTCAACTTGTCCGTAAATCCAGTTTTTCACATACATTTTCAACAAATCCAGAGCAATTTTTTAGATTAAGGTTACAAATACAAAGGTTATCTATAGATTTTTACATTTTTAAAACAATGAGATTGAAGTTTGCACCATACAGTAATTGACAATAAATGCCTAGAACCTAAGCTCACAGGAAACCTAGAAAGCAGTTACCAAAGTGAGAGTCCAGGAAGACCTTCCTTACTCGAAGACTCATTCTTTACTAGTAGATGCCAACTTACCCCAGTTCACTTATCTCTGACACGATGATAAAAAAAAAAAAGTCCATGTAACTCTTAACATTGTAATGGTTCTCAGACTGAAATAACAGGTTTCATTTAAAATCATATAAAAATTGCTTTAATCTGACAAATCGCAGGAGGAGCTTTTCTTTTACAAATAGTTTAATGTCCAGAGAGTGAATGCAGAGCAACTTGCATACCCTTATGCTCTACTTGCCCTGGCCAGGTGCCTGCTAAAACAACTTGATCCAACAGCTGAGAAGGTCATAAGTTAAATCAGTTGAAGAGAATCCAATTTCTAGTTTAAAAAGCACAGCTATCGCACCATTGCTTCCCCTCCTCCCTGTGCTAATACAGTGCTCAGGGCTGAAAGGCTGAACATGTTTGGAAGAATAGACTTATCTAGAGATGTTCTAACTAATATGGAAAAGATACTCATTAGCAACCTTGTAAAAAGTCAACAATTAAACTTCACCTGTTTCTACAGTGTGACATGGCTGTGAGAGCTGTTGGTATAACTTACAGCTTTGACTTTACAAAAGGGAATAATTTAAAGTATTGGAATTTTACTTACTCATGTAAAACACAATTTTAAATGGAAATGGGATCTCAAATTATTTAAAAAACTAAACGAGAGATGGGAAATGGTATATCAAATGACTGGCACTCTTTGTAAGGATATCTTATTCCTGTGCTTTGGCTTTGTTAAAATTAGCTTGAAGTGTCTAGTAATGTAGACATTTCTGGCCAAGCCTTGAATGTACTGATGGGATTTCTCACCCCCAGCCCCTCCGACTCATCTCCATACAATCTAACCACCTGTACCCAGTCATAATCCACAGATTATGCCAAGGGAGATGTCTCAATAGCTGTTACACTTAGTCAAGAAGATAAATTTGCTAAAGTTTATGTATACTATAGATTGCTGTTAGCTCTTGATCTACTCCAAAGACAGGATATTAGGAATTGGAATTAGGAATGTTCAATGTGTTCACTATGTCAGTATAAAATTTGAAAGGTCAAGATTATTGGGTTATTGTCCCTTTTCATGTGCTTGTTCATTCTATGCCAGGGGTAGGCAACCTATAGCATGCGAGCTGATTTTCAGTGGCACTCACACCTGGGTCCTGGCCACCACTCCGAGGGGCTCTGAATTTTATTTTAAATGAAGCTTCTTAAACATTTTAAAAACCTTATTTGCTTTACATATAATAGTTTAGTTTAGTTATTATAGACTTATAGAAAGAGACCTTCTAAAAACGTTAAAATGCATTACTGGCACACGAAACCTTAAATTACAGTGAATAAATGAAGACTCGGCACACCACTTCTGAAAGGTTGCTGACCCCTGTTTTGTGCAATCAGAACTCCCACTGATTCCTGTTAGAGATCTACTTCCATTAGGGCACATGGGGTCCAAAGTGTATATTACAAGAGTTGCACAGTTAAGATTTGGTATTTGCTCCTATTTCCAAGCTTTTCTGATAATCTATCCATTAAAATAAAGTAACAAAATTTTATGGTGAACACTTCTCTTAT